AACTATGGATGATTACATAACTTCTAAAATATTGAGTGGTAAACTATTTGGGGTGTCTGTGAACGATGTAGCACGGCTTTGTACTGAGGGTGAGTAAACTATGCTTTTTCTAATCAATTAACGTAAAAACTGCATTTTCCAAGTTTATCTCCAACATTTTCGGGGTTTTGGGGAAGCTTTTGGAGGAGGAGGGGGGGGGGGGGGGTAAAACTTTTACAATATATAGAGTCATTAAAAGAATGGAACTACGTGAAAATTGTTTCGATGTATGTTTATTAGGGCCCAAATTATGGCAGTAGAATTGGCAATAACAAATTTTGCGGCACTGCATCCGTTTTATCGTCTCGATCGGAACTTCATCCACATAACTGTAAATTACCTCTCCGTCATTAGGCTGAGCGCTTCCTCCAAATTTGAACTATAAGGGTACAAAATGTTTTAAGGTCAAGTCTGAACCTACTGACTATCCCAAAAATGTGCAAGTCCCACTTGTACACAGTTGTGAAGGGGTGACTGTGAAACGTCAACTTGTACCCACAACCCACAGGCGCTAGCAGAATCATGCCACTCAAAACAGTTCGTAAAAAATTAACCTAGTCAACTTTCGGAAATAAAAACCATGGAATACCGGTTGATTAATCAAGGCCATCGGAATCGATTCATACTTCGGTGTCGAATTTTGTAGCGTGCATGCACCGATGGTATGCTTTGGAATTGCGGAAATTGGAATCGAGAGGAATTGGAATTATGAACGAATCGATCCTCTGACCGGAATCCATGGAATCGAATCACTAAAAGGAATGACTTGGCCTAGCTCTACTCTGGAGCAAGAAACAGAGTTTGACCAAACTGACTGTCGGAGTTTTAACAACCTTTTTGAATGGTTTTCGAATGCTTCGTTTGTTTTTGCCGAATAGCTCTGGTAACGAATTTTAAGACTCTTCAACATTTAACTACCTGCATACTAAATCGTAAATCTTCAAGCACCGGGTCGTACAGTGTTGTACTGGACTAGTAGCGTGCGTCATGTTTACTTATTAAAGTTTATCTAAGCCATTGTTAAGTTCTTTTACCTGCTTCTTTTTTCTTCTACGGATTGACCGTGCATATTCTTTTCAATGTCAATGGCCAATGGCTAGTTCTTTCGCCAATACCAGTGGTGTATACAGGTATGCGGAGTAATATGGATGTGGGACCATGAGGTCTGATAATAGGTTTCTACAACTCGTCTATTAGTCAGTACACGGGTGCTTGTATACAAGGGATGTAGAATATTTTTGTTACGAGAATAGTAGGAACATTTGCAGTTATGCGGGCAAACTTTAGTATAGACAAAATTGCTGCAATAGATTGATAACATCAGTTCTTCAATAGAGACGCGGTTTAAGGAATGTTTCCAATATAACAAGTTGCAGTTGCCTAAGTCACTTTTTTCATGGTATTTATTGCTCTACCTCGGTGTAAAAATTGCCTTGCTAGACCTGAATCGTTAGATGTGCTCCTCCTTCTAGTATCATGCCCGCTCCTCCCCAATTGTCACAAGGACATCTGCTCTCAGAAATGCTTACCCACACTCCCCCGCTTTTCAACTTTAAATCGCAGCTACACCCCCCCCTCTCTAGACATATTCCTAAATCTACCCGTGTTGTCAGAATATTTGGCACATGCTGAGCAACCTTTACCCAGCACATTAGATTGGTATCTACAACAATAGTAGTAGTATAGTAGTACAGTATAAAAGTGACAGATATATGTTGCAAATTGCGCGCCGTAGTTTCCGGATTTGTGTCTGCAATATGTTGTAGATTGTACAAATTCTCGACAAAAGACGGCATGTTCCGGAGAAAATTTGTTGTAATTGATACCTAGATTTTTTTTTTGCTCGTATGTTAAGGAAAACGTATTGAAAATTCGCACATTGTAAGAAAAGCAGACCTATCAGACATTATCTTAACGAAGACTTCGAGGCGATCACATAGTTATCTTTAGAATACTCCTTGGCTTGATTTACACCAACCTGAAGCACCTGAACCAACTGTCGCTAAGCAATATTCCCGGATTCTCTCTATATTTTCATCGGTTCTTGAAGACGAAGTCCGCTTCTTAGTTTATCTTCAATCGACTCTCTCTTTAAACCACCGAAAAACCTGGGCTCTTGACGACAAAACTCTACCTCCATAGGCCTATTTAGCAAAAGCTTTCGTTGCACTGTGCCCAAGTGCACACCTTTGCTCAAAATTGAAGTTACTCATTTTTAGAACGCAACAGAAAAAACTGTTTCACAAAAAAAATCGCTACGGACAACCAAATTACTCGAGCGAGTTCAAACTTGTCCTGGAGGCGGATCACACTACTCGTACGTTGCCAGTCTCATCACTGAATTTACAGATCTCGTATGCAAGCCAATAAGCTCAAAGTGTATTATGATAGTGACAATGTAAAGTCGTTTTCACGAGTATCCCTTACATCAAACGCTGCAGCAAATAACAGCTGATTATCTACATTTCAGAATACCTCATATAGTCGGGTGACATACAATTATGACGGATCTGTCAACGCCACGTAGACAGAGTCGTATTTTGTTGTGACGTTGGTACGCTACGGATTCATACTTTCTAACAACACGTTTAGCTTTCATCAGCTTATACAGGATCCGTCAGAAAGAACGGATGTTTTTTAAATGAGTAGTACAGTCTAAATAAGTATGGGAAAAATATTTTATTATATCAAAATACTCAGAAATACGTTCTAAAAATTATGTCGGCCACATGGCGCCCTTGAGCCGAAATGCAGGAATCAAGCCTCTTCCGAAATGAGCCCATTGCGTCTGCCAGCATCGGTGCAGGAATTTGGGTTACTTCTCTTCTTATTTCCTCCTTCAAATCGAAGGTCCGAGGCTTGCTTTGGTAAACTTTTGATTTCAGGTAGCCCCATAGAAAAAATCACACGTTGAGAGGTCCGGTCCAGTGCGAGCTGTGTGAGATGTTGCTCCGTCTTGTTGGTACCACACTGTTCTGAGACGGACACGTCGACGTCGAAGTTCCGGAAAAAAAGATTGTTCAGCATGTGGATGTAACGTTCTGAATTCACAGTAGTTGTTTCTCCATCATCTTCAAAAAAATAAGGGCCTATAATCATCGTTGGGAATACTGCACACCAAACTGTAACTTTCGGGGTATGCAGATGGTGCTCATGCAACTGTTGAGGGTTCACTGGAGACCATCAGTATCGACATTTTTTTTTATTGACGTATCCATGTAAATGAAAATGTGCTTCATCACTTATAAACAACGTCACGTCATTGTTATCCAAATGTTCAATCATGAGCGGTGCAAAATTAGCACGCTGTGCATAATCTCCTGACAACAGTTGTTGACAAACTTGGATTTTGTGAGGATGGAACACTAAATCCTTCTTCAAGATGCGACGGACAGAGGACGCGTGTATCCCTAGGGAACTGGCACGCAAACGGACGGAACGATTCGGGCTTTGCAGCGTGTCAACTCTCACTCTGTCTACGTTTTCGGGGGTTCTAACAGTTAACAGTACTGTTTCGACCTGGCGGTTTTTTCGTCATCAGATTACCTGTTATGTTGAATGCTTCCATCCATCTCAAAATGGTGTTACGGTCTGTTACTGTCCCATGACGTGGAACACGAAAGTGAACGCGAAACTCATGCTGCGTTCGAACGACAGACTCGCCATTTTGAAAGTACCGACGTACAGTGAACACACTATCCAACACGCCCTTCCCCACCAACCCGGGACCAGCCCACTCGATGTAGTACCTATTCGAAAAACATGCGTTCTTTCTGACGGACCATGTGGTATGTAGTACGTACTCTGTTCATTTCTATTTGGTAATAATAAACCATTTGTTTTTCGTCCATTGGCTTTAATGTTCATTCCAGGCACCAGTAGAGCGAGATATTTTATGTCAAACTGTCAATGTCAGGAAATAAAAGTTACTCTCCTAACATCTGGCAGAAACCTAACCTCTGGTACACAAATACCGTTACATTCTAAGGATAGGGCATTGAAAACGGTACCTATATATCATAGTTCTGGCTACAAAACCTAATGACAACAGTTACTGCGCTGGATACGTAGCCATAGTAAGTACAGCATACTTAGAGTCGTTTAATATAATCATATCAAAAATTCTTTCACGGAATACAAATGAATTGTCATGATGCCGGATGTTAGCTCAAGTTGGGTCATTTTCGTCTTCGTTTTGTTTTCTTAGATTGAGATCTGAGGCGAATGTCACATTGCACTGTGCTAAAAGGTGGAATAAACTTAAACAAGACGGTCTTATCTAATACTAGCTTTTCGTCCGCGGTTTTACCCGCTGAGCGTATAGGAGGCGCCACTAATACTGTAACCCAGAGTTCCCCAAACTTTTTTGTGTCGTAGACCCCTTGCCATGTTTTTCCGTGTTGGGTAGACCCCCTACTTACCTGATATTGATTTCCTGTAAATTTCTAACTGTAGTGAAGTTTAGTGTTTAAATTAAAACTTCTCAAAATAAAATTTTGTATCTGTTATGTAAAATATACGTAACATTAAATAAAGAGGTGTCTGACCAATAAGTGCCCGCATTGGGAATAAGTGCCCGCATTGAAAAAAAATAAGAGGGCTAAAATAAAAAAAAAAGTGAAAAATGAAAAAAAAAGTTTTTTACTTAAAATAGTACAATAAGCGTTCGTTTATTAATTATAACATAAACATATGTTCTACAATAATTTCACTGTTAGTTTGATTAAATTCCGCTTCTTATACGTTTAAGTTATCTAAAAATAGGCAAAAAATGAACGAATTTTAGTGTGTACCTATCCTTGAATTTTCAAAATAATTAAAAAAAATATTTTCTATAAAGGGGGGTTCTTTAAAAAAATCAATGCTGGCATTTATTCCCAATGCGGGCAGGAGATTGGTAACAGCGCTGAACCCCCTTTCCACTAGGTATGACGATGGAAAGGAAATTAAAAATTTCCTCGCTATTTTCCATAATACGGGATAGTAACGGGTATGTTGTTTTGCAGCCAGAATTGCTGATATCCGTTTTTAAACTGAACCTTAAGTTCTTCGTTTGTACTTAGTGCAGTCAGTTCCTCTTGTATTATGACATTCGTTTCTTCTATGTCACCATATGGATTAATTATCCACGGTGGTATTACCATAGTCAAAATATCCTCAAACCTAGATTCAAAATCTGAATAGAGGGCATTTAAATGTTGAACGTAAGTTGAAACGTCGTCTTCCTGGCAGCTTGTCTGTGACAAATTGGGGAACTGAGAAAATTCGCCCCGTCCAATATTTTCCTTCATTAGTTTAACTCTGGCAAGAAACGCTGATAAGATGGACTTTGTTTTAATCAAATTTGAACTGTCGCCTTGTAATTGCAAATTAACCATATTAAATTTTGTAAACAAATCTGTTAAATAGGCGATGTCTGTTTTCTTCTTCATTAAATTTTCTTTTAAAATTTTATCTTTAGTATCCAGAAATTCTAAAATAGTCTCAAAAAGTGCAAAAAATCTTGTCAAGCATAAGCCTTTCGACAGCCAGCGTACTTCAGTGTGAAGGAGTAATTGATGTGCCAAGAAAATTTGAACATGTGTGAAAGTGACTCCCAATTTTTGAGTAACGTAATCACAGGTGACGAGTCGTGGATCTTTGAGTATGATCCCGAGACAAAGAGGCAATCTTCCGAGTGGCACACGACGGCGTCTCCTCGCCCAAAAAAGGGAAGAATGAGCTAATCTAAAGTGAAAACGATGCTCATTGTCTTTTTTGACATCAAATGCATCGTCCACCATGAATTTGTTCCTCCTGGACAAACCGTCAACGCCAAGTTTTACGTGGAAGTGCTCAGGAGACTCAAACGAAGGGTCAGTCCGGTCCGACAAGACATCGCAGCCGACTGGAAGTTGCACCACGACAACGCCCCGGCTCACACCGCCTTTCTTGTGAACAGCTACCTGACCGAGGCCGGCATCCTAACGCTTCCGCAGCCGCCCTATAGCCCAGATGTGCCCCCCCCCCCCGGACTTTTTTTTGTTTCCTCGCCTGAAAAGGCTGATGAAAGGCAAGCATTTTGAGACGACGGAGGGGATCCAAGCAGCATGCACCGCGGCTCTCAAGGCTATTCCGGAGAATGCCTTCCGTGACGCCTTCCATGCTTGGAAATCGCGCTGGCAGCGCTGCATCGACGCAGAAAGAGCCTATTTTGAAAGTTTTTAAAGAATTGTAACGATCGGCTCCATAATTTTTTTTAAATCGACTCATTCCTATTACTTTCCGGACAAACCCTGTATACAGAGAAATCCACATCCCACTGAAGTTGTAATGTATACGAGAGAGAAGCGCGAGCAGTGTGCAATAAATATGTTAGAAAGAGATATAAGCACCACGTTGCCTAGCAGCCGCAGCTGCGCTTCTCTCTCGTACACATTACCTCGCCAGTAATATTTGTGTATAGATTATGAATCTTTTTTCTCGCGAAATTGTAAAATGCATGGAAAGTACTGGCGATGCTTTCTACAATCAGATCTCGCAAACCTTAGGAATCCATGGTACTGTCTTTCTTGTATCATTCATCTGTTACTTACAGTTCAATACCGATACCGTACACGGCATTAAGCCGGCTGTCTGTCTTTTAAAAGTGATTTCCCTCTTAATACCATCCAGTTTCTACCTAATTAAATTCAACTCTCGATTTACTCTTGTAAGCCACACTGTCGGATAAATCAAGATGGACGGCGATCTATCTAGTTACCGTTGATATCTGATCATTGACCTCTGTAAATAGAAAACATTATGGACGGACCTGTTTGTAAAAATCTGATGCTCGATAATAGAGGTGCGTCCATCAACTAGAAGAATTGTACCATAACGACTGAGAGATTTAGGCCCGAATGGGTAGTCATTTCTTCAGGCCTTCTTAAAACAACAAAGGACTCCACACAAAACATATGGAAAATGGTTTCAGTCGGTTTGTCTAAAAATTTAGTAAGATATATTTCTCGCCTTCCTGAACAAAAGTTCTGATGGGATCAAAGCAATCCTATGATTAGTTACTGAGAAATAGGGATATGAAGTTTGCCCGACTTGAAAAAATAGTGATTGTGCCGATTGTTGATCTCAGACGCAAATGTTTGGATTATTGTTACACTGGAGGAAATATTTCATGAAAAAATGTCATGTTGATCTTAACCATGCTCCTTACGAGGTCAATTTAAGGGCAAGTTTATTTTTATACATTGATGCACTAATAGATCTGGCTCGAGTTGTTGGAGGATTCAAAAAGATTAACTCAAATGCATGGTTTGTTTCACAATGGCAACGGAAAAGTCATGGTTGTTTACTTGTCTTTCATTATGACGTTTTGAAGGTCAGTTCAGCCAATAACATCGTGTCCTTGTCTCGAATCATTAGGTATTAATCGCGCTTTGGATTCATGGTCAATGCAAATACAGAACTTGTAGTCCAAGATTGCTTAATAGTCTGCATCGGCGGCCAAAACAAATGAACTCAGACGTCTGAAAGACAAATATATGTCACTAATTTGATTTGAACTGCCCAGGGAGCCGAAACATCATGTGGTTCCATTTACTGGACAGTGTAAGGGAGATGGATGAGTTACAGCAACTTGAAACAATGTTCACACATGCCCATTTTTGCTTTCTCCTTCAAAATGAACATGACCTTAAATTGACATTGTAAGGGCCATAGTCAAACACAAGTAAACATCCACGACTGTTCTGTGCTGTGAAACGATCTGTCTTGAGTTCTCGAACAACTCGTTTCAGATCTATTTCAACATCAACGTAAGTATACAAATAAAATTGCACTTAAATTGACCATGTAAGGATCATAGTCAAGATCAACTTGACAGTACACCTTTCTACAAGGTTTTTAATGAAATATTAGTTTCAATATAACATTTATCCGAGTATTTGGACAACTCAGACAAACTTCATACCCCTATTTCTCAGAAACTAAACGTATGTTTGGTTTGAGCCTATGAACTTTTGTTTAGGTAAACGATAAATATATCATACTAAATTTTTGGGCAAACCGACTGGTACCCATTTTCCGTATGTTCTGTGCGGGGTCCTTTGATGTACAGGTCAGCATTGCCATATTGGGCGATTTATCCCGAAATTGAGAGGTATTGTTTCATCTTTCTGGAAATTTATTGGGTGCATAGTTTTCTGGGAAAATAAAATCCCTTGGGTATTTTTGGGGGCATTTTATTTCATTTTTAACCATATTTAAGGAACTTGGCACTGCCAAACGCCAAGACAACAAACAAAAATAGTTTCTCAATCGCGCTATGTTTGAGTAGTGCTGATTAGTAGGATCATAATTATAAGAGCGGCGAGGATTTTGTAAGTACCATTTGAATATGGTGTTACATGCTTTGATTCTTTATCCGACTCATTTCGTCAGAGAGCTACAATCAGCATATTCGCCATGTTCGCAACTCGGACAAACTTTTTATCCATGAAACTTTTATTTAGGAATGCGATAAATATACCATACTGAATTTTTAGGCAAACCGATTAGTACCCATTTTCCGTATGTTCCGTGCTGGGTCCTTTGCTGTGCAGGATGCTCCGTGTTATGTGAATGCAACTTGTTAGATTGTAAAAGCCCCTAATGGTTTGAATGTACCTGTTTATACTCGACATGGGTGGTGAGAAACCACGGTGCGTTACACGCATATGCGGTACATGTTGCCATATTAGGCGAATTTGGGAGGTAACTTACACCTTTCAGGGAATTTATGTCATACGAAATAATAAAATGGACATATGCGAAGTAGTGAAGTAGTATGTCATCAGCAAGGGTCTGTCAACCACAAATCGCAGGCAATATAATGTAGGTTCAATTTTATTGCAAATCTGGTTAATGTGTGGCTTCCATTTAAGGCATTGGCCAGTTTGTATGCCTAAAAATTTTGTTGCTTGGGCATGTTCTATTGATACATCCAATGATCTGATCAACAAGCGGAGCTGGAATTATGAATTGCGTGGCCAAACTTGTCCAAAAACCATCGCTATACACTCCGCAACTCGTCAGTAGCTTTTTGAGGAAGAGACATTATATTATTAGTGTTTACAAGAATCGATGTATCATTTGCGTACATGACGTTTTGAGCTACTAAAGTTATTTACAAAGATAATGTACACAAATGATCCCAGTATGGACCCTTGAGACCTCCCAATTCACTCACACGTCTATCCGAATGACAGTCATTGATTTGAACGTAGTTCTGCCTTCCAGTCAAATAGTCACGAAACCATATAGTTCCAACCGCATGCCGGTGTAAGATTTTTACACTCCCAGTGTGTAATACTCCCCCACAATTCTAGGTGAATAAGTACGAAACGACTTGATATTTGACAGTCCTGATGCATTTTTGTCCTTTTTCCTCATTTTCACTATTTCAGAGCATATAACACGGAATAAAAACCTAGTGCATGAGGGGGCATGGGAAATGAGTAGTTCAAGTACATTACATTCTAGCGCAGTGGATTGGTAGTTTAAGGCGCTGGAAACTACTTAATTACTCCGAGTAACTCAAATGAGACACTGGAAAGCAGCTGTGGAGGGCGTCTTGCTTGTAAATTGTTATCTGGACTTGGGAGTGACAGAAGGGTTTTCAAATATCTGAGGTCTGAGATGCCTCCTTATTCCACTATTAATTAACAATGATTAATTTGACGCTTGATTTGTAATGAGTTGTCTATACAACGATACAACTAAAATAAGTAGGCTTCTAGGTTCTTGAGAAGAGTAGTGAACTAAGCAAGCCTTGAAGATAACGATTATGCATTGCAATAAGAAGACCTTCAATCGAACAGGACCGCTTTCTTCCTTGAGAAAGATACTTAACAAGTCATCTGCCATTCCAAAAAGCTATCCTGATGTTGAAGAATTATTGATTATGTTTACACCATTGGAATAGCTAACCGCATGACTATGTGCTATTCAGCGCGTTAACAGCGCGCCATTTCTTGGAATGGTGCCGTTTTAATACACAGAACAACACGGCCCTGTGGTTAGGTACCCAACATGGTCATAGAGGTATTGAGTTAATCTTTTCCAGTTTTGTAGCTTGGTTTTGACTCCGATTGGACAAAGTCATGTGATAGGCACTTGTATCAAAATATAGTTTTTCTGAAAAAATAATCATTTGAATGACTGAATGGAAATTCACCGAAGAGCAAATAGCCGTGGAGTAAACAAGAGGAAAATGAATAATCCTGGTAAAAATAACACACAACTTATTTTAAGCATCGGTATCAGATATGAAAAATGCAGTTATTACTGGTGACACTGTTTACAGATTCCCGAAAACAGAAACATATGCGTGGAAAAATAACTTTGAAAGTTTTATCAACTG